TCATGGGAAAAGCCCTTTGTTTAGAGCACTGTATAAACATGTTTTTGCTATCATTGTTATCATCGTTATCATCATCATCATCATCATCATAGGCCACAGGAAGGCCAGGGTGCACTGACTGAAAGCGGGAAAGAAGAGTCTCCAAAAGGACATCACTTTCTTCAGAGCTCTGGCTCAATTCACTTGTTCAGTTGTTTAGTAGGAGTAGAGGCAGGGGTGGGGAACCTGTGGCCTCAAGGCCATACGTGGCCCTGTGGCCCTTTGACTGAATCCAAACCTCACAGAACAAATCCCCTTAATAAAAGGATTTTTTAGAATTTATTAATAAAAGACCACATGCGGCCTCGAGGCCTCAGGCTCCCCACCCATGGAACAGAGTATACTCGTGGTCTAGATCAGGAAAATATCCTCTCCATTTTTGCGGGCTGCCCAAAATCCTTTGATGGGCCACAGGTTGTGCAGGCCTGGTCTAGCTGTTCAGTCAATGGGTGGATGGATTTGGCCATAATGAAAAAACAAACAAATGCTGTTCTATTATATTTTCATACCTTGTAGCAGAGACTATAACCCACACCCAAAGTAGAGAACATATATGACAGATCAAGAGTCAACAGTAGATCCAGTCAAACTGTCTACCATATTTTTATATTGTATTAGCGATAGCAATCCTTAGTCATAGTGTTGTAGACATACATGTGAAGCAGCATCTCGCTTCCCCGCAGGTCAACCATCTGGTAACCATTAGTAACATGACAAGAACCTGAAAGGAAGGCCCCTCAAAAAAGACCTCTGGTCAGCCCAGTATATACATCCAAAGCTTAATGTCCTTATTTGTAAAATGAGGGGCTGGACTACATGATCTCTAAAGGTACTTATTCAGCAGTTTTGGTTCCTCTTTGAAGTTCTACTTGTTCTTCCCTCTATTAATATGGTCCTCTTTGTTGTTTATGTATTTACTTACTTGGTTTTTATTCAGGCTTTCTCTGTTGACATTTTGGTGTTTTAGTGCTCTTAAAACAATTCACTACCCTTGGACATCTCCACCTTCAGTCATCAGTGGACAGGGTACTTATGATAGACTGTTGGACAGCCTAAACTGTCCTGGTTTGGGGTAGGCTGGGGTCCCTGATCTGACTAACCTGTGTGGAGGAGAAGACTGATCTCTGCTGGGTTCTTAATCCCCTTTCCATCAGGCCCCATGCTTTGAGAGCTTTGCATATCAAGTTTTCAGTCCTGTCTGATTCCTTCATCACTATTATTCCCCTTTTTTCATGTGTTAGGGGCAGATTCAGTGTCTTCTGTTTCTTGCAAGGTCAGCAAGGGTGACAGTTGGACATTGACCGCCATGGGGGAATCCCTATAGTCAAATTATGAATAATGAACCAACAAACTGTTGTTAGTATGTGGATTTGGTTGGGAGAGTGGGTTAGGATCTTGAGTAAAAGTTCTAAGTATTAATATTTCTCCAAAATTAACTCATGAAGTTTTTACTTAGTGTGTGAGTTATATCTTATTATATTGTCAATTCAACTATACTTTTTCTGTATCCAGCAAATACTTACTTTCTTTTGCAGTTTCAGAGTTACAGAGGTTTATAGAAAGTTTATACTATTTCACCATAATATTGGTCACATAATTGTTGGACAGACTGAATGTTATGCTAGCATCAATGAAATATTGAAAGAATGAATAATTTCCTTAGTATTTTAGGTAGATCCTTTATGGAAGTTATATGAAAAGACATGGCTAAAAATATATAAGGTAAGAAGACAAGGAGAATTGTGATCTTTACCAGTAGAGGGAGTACCTGCACCAGTGAAACATAGGTGCATCTAGGTATCAGATTATCATTCTAATTTGTGTACATGTCCTGTTACCTCTCTCCACCTCCCACCCCCAGGTGAATTATAAATTCCTTGAGGGAAGTGGCTGTGCTTATTGTCTTCTTTGCAGGACTAGCACCCAGCATAATAATTGCATTTAATAAATTTTTGTTGAACTGAATGTCATAAGATTATAAAAGTCCATAAAAGTTAGGCAGCTATTCGGACTTGATTTTGTAAACTGTAGCATTTACCTGTATTTTTGAGGAGAGGCATGATATGATTAAAGTGATATTTCTGCAAAACTAGTTTTAGCAATCACGTAGAGTAGGGACTGAGGCTGAGTAGACTCTACTTCAGGTGAGTTGGTAGAAGTCTCAACTAAATACTGAGAAGATTTCCTTAATAACTTCCATGAACTACAAAGCATTGGAACCTCTACTGGATTTGTATATTGTTTATTAAATTATATCTCTTAAAAACAAGAAACAAATACAGGAACATTCCTAATAATGCAGCCTATAAGGCTCTTTTTCCAAAGTGTAATGTTCTGGATCAACACCACCAGTGTGAAAAGAAGGACCTACCACATATGCATGTCCTTATATTTATCCTCTCTTCCTCCTGGAAATCTAAGGATTGGAACCATGAGTTTTGCATTCATACAAAAAGGTAAAGGGGGACTGCACATAGTCTCCTGGATAAAAGTATGAGAGTCTTCTTTGATTCCTCCTTTTCCTTCATCCCATGTATTCAGTCTGTCACCAACTCCTATCAGCTCTTCCTTTGGATTCACTCTTTCCTCTCTATTTTTATAGCCATAATAGTGGTCCTGGACCACAGTATCCAGTATGATACAGTGCTTTCCAATCCCCTCATTTTATAGATGAGGAAACTGGGATCTAGAGAGATAAAGTGATGATTAATTGCAAAGCTAGGCCTAGCATACAGCCCTTCACTTCAGCAGCCCCCTAATATGTTTCCCTAGCTCCAGTTTCTTCTTCTTTCAGTTTTTCATGTGAAAGAAGTTAAGTGACTTGCCCAAGGTCACATAGCTAGTATATGTTGGAGGTTGGATTTGAATTCAGGTCTTGATTCCAGACCCAGTACTCTATCCACTGAACCAAATAATATTCTTATTCCACAATTGTGATTATATCACTCCTCTGCTTGAAAAACTCCAGTGGTTCCCCTTTGCCTAACAAGCAAAGTCTAAACTCCCAGGCCTGACACTTACGGTCCTCTGTAATCAAATTTATACTTTTTAAGTTTCGTTTCCTATTGCTCTCCTTCATATACTGTGCACTGTCGCTAAATGCCATGGAGAGTAGTAGCTACAACATATGGAAAAGAACAGTAGAGATGCTTAGTAATTCATTAGAGAAAAAAATAAAAGAATGGAACCAGCAATAAAACCCACGGTTTCTAGCCACCCTATATGGTTTGGTTAATAAGCAAGAAGAACTAAAAATATTAACACAAAGAGGGAAAATTTAATTTCAAAAGGTTGTCAACAAAATGTTGTTGGTTTTTTTAAAAAAAAACTATAGTGGAGGAAACAAAAGGATCAAAGATAGGATTTCTGCTCAGAGTGGAAAAGATGATAATAACTGACAACAGAGAGAAGACAAAGCTACTTGATTTTAATTTCACTTCTTTATTCTCTACCATAGAGACTGACACTTGTACTGCCAAGTGTGTAACAAGAATGGCTACTCCATGGTTGATAGCCTTTTGTAGACCCTTCTTCCCTTGGGTAATCAGTACACCTTGGGTCTTCCTGTGGCCTTTGAGGATGATGGTAATGATAACAATGATAGAAAAAATATGTTTATATAGTGCTTTCAAACTTAAAAAAGGCTTTCCCCATTGACAGCCCTATGAGTTTGCCTGCTATCATTTTCTTTATTTTCTAAATGAAGAAATTTAGGCAAAAATAAGTTATATGACTAATTGGGTAGCAATGTATAGAATAGTTTGGAAGGGATAGAGACCGGAGGGAGAGAGGCTCAATGATCCTTTTCTCTTGTCCTGCTAACTAGTGGCATTATCTCTGCACTACCCTCCCAAAGTTTAAGTGGCAGCAAGGGTTGCCATTTGGGTTCTAGCATTAATAATAACCTTATATTTCAGTTACCCTAGCCTGTGGTAAACTAGTGAGTGATATGAAAATAAAACTAAATCTGAAGTATAAATTGAGAATTTAAAGCTCATATATTGAACGATACTACAATATATTCCATTGTTTTGCATACCTCTATCCACTTCCCATTTATTTCATGAGCGATTCCTACTTTGTGAACAATCCAGAATAAACCATTAGAACAATAGAGTTTGAAGTAAGATATCATTCAGAAGAACTGAACTTGAGTCCTGGCTGCACTGCTTACTAGATGTATGGCCTTAGGCAATCTACTCTTGAAAATCCAAGGGCTATAGAAGACATATTGGGGCTTTCAAGGACCTCGTATTCATTGTGCCAGAGTATAGTGGCTAGAGCCTCTCTGTAATAAGGGCAAGCTGACAGTTTCTCTGTGATAGCTACCACGTCCAGCTAGCAAGTGACAGAAATTAAGTACCCCCAAGCTAAAAAGAGAGAAAGTACTGGAAAAATCACAAGGCAAAGACTGGATCCTGGTCAGTATTAAAGACTTGGGGGTGGGGTCCTATAACAGGAGTATGCTTTCCTCATCACCCTCCAACTCCTAGTCACCAGTCATCAAGAAGAAGTTCAGGTTACTGGATAATTGTTCAACAAATATTTCTTTATTAAGAGTTTACTTTGTGTCAGAGGGGTAGCTAGGTGGTGCAGGGAATAGAGTGTTGAGCCTGGAGTCAGGAAGATTCATGAGACCCTGAGTTCAAATCTGGCCTCAGACACTTACTGACCTGAATTACCTTAAGTGACCCTGGGCAAGTCACTTAACTTCTGTTTGCCTCAGTTTCCTCATCTGTCAAATAAGCTAGAGAAGAAAATGGCAGACCACTCCAGTATCTTTACCAAGAAAACGAGGTCACAAAGACTGGGACACGACTGAAACGTCTGAACAACAAGCAGAAGTCACAAGGCTAGCTGATAACTTCATATTGGAGTCTTGGGCAAATCAGTTTATCCCCCTGTCCCTCACTTGACTATCTTGTTCTCTTATTCTCTGCTCTTTTCTGTCTTGCCCCTAGGACTACTGGCTCTCTCTCCTGTATAAGCGCCTGATTGGACCCAAAGTTCTGGCAGTGCACGTTGCTGGCCTCCAGAGGAAGCCACGGCCTGGCAGAGTCATCCGCGACAAATTACGCATTTATGCTCACTGCACAAGCCACCACAAGTAAGTCTACCCGTAGGTGCCATTTCAGGGGTCCTTTCGGGCTGTTTATTGCTCCTTCACCCTTTTAATAGCTTGAAGAAAGAACCCAGAATCGGATACTAGAGCCATTTTGGCAGGAATGCCACCAGAGCCTGTTGATTCTTTTTGAGCTTGTTGCTATGCCTGCCTACTACTGTGCTGAAAAATGCTGACAGGATCACTGTACCTGAATGATAAAGGGTGTAAAGATGAACTGACTAAAATACAAGTTTAAAAACACAGGTTTTAAATCGAGTTCATTGAAAACCTTCTCAATCACCCTAAGTTTATTCTTAGAAAGATTTGGAAGTTGCTTAAGCTCTCTTTCTCTTTACTTCATCAATTTCAAAGTATGAAACACCTATTCTTATGCTCCAAGAGGCTGAGGGTGAGGCAATAGTATTGCATTTATAAATTTTAGATCCTACACAAAATGGAGATCAATACTCACTGGATACCTTATAGTGAAACTTACTTGGCAAAAAATGCCTGTCTTAGTAGGAAATATCACTTTCCAGTTGAAGGAGGAAAACAGACAAACCAGTTAAAGAAAAACCCTTCTTTTAGTGAGGAAACAGAGCATCTCTGAGCATAATGAAAACTTGGGGGTAGGAAAGAGTCACTAGATAGAGCTATTGCACTAGGGTTATCAGAAGACGATCATAGGAATGCATAGTACAAAGGGCCCTGCGTGGTCATGTTACAACAGTCACCTCTTCCCCCTGCTTGATGATAGAGGAGCCCGGCCCAGTTGATTTCTCATGATAAGACTTTTCAAAGAATCTCTCATAGTAGAGGGAACTAGGGGCCAGTTGTCTTGTCTGTAGACACAATTATCTTTTGTGGATGAACAGGGATTGGGCTTGGTCATATGCCAGGTGATTTTCAGCACCCCTTTTGCTCAACAGGAAGCCCTATCCAGGGAGTGACTACTTTATGGCATTTGTTTGTTGTTATCAGATCATTATATAAGGAAACATTGTTTTCCTTGTCTCAGGCCCCAGAAGCAACCACCCAAAAGAAGGACCACAATCATAGAGGAGAAAAATGATTTCAGTATCTTCTGCCTCCATGGGAAAGCACACTGCCTACATTCTAATCACTCCACATAAGTGGAACAAAAGGGTGGAAACACCTATCTGGGAGGAGAGGGAACCAAACACAATATTGACTTAAGAAGTGGGTTGAAACTTGGTAAGAAAGATTAAAATTGATTTTAGGAAGGTAATTTGTGTCAGACTAGAAGTTCCTGGCCCTGACTTGGTCTGTGGTTTTCTCATAATCAGTTAGAGAATGTGTTCAGCAAAGAATGATGATGAAGTATAATCTTTGCAAATCCGGACTTTGAGAAGTACCACATTCTAGTTTAACATTCTTACTAATACTAATTTCTAATACTAAATGTATAGGAAGTGCTCTTTGTGGCCATTCATTCTGCAACTGCCTTCTATCAGTCTGGCAGCTAAGGAAAGTATATGGGACTTGTATTGGAAGAATCTGGCTTGGGTAGTGTCCAGGAGAATAGTTCATCCATGATGGTAGGCCTTGGAGTCTACAGCATCGCCACATTCCAAGTGTCATTCCAACCACCTAAGCAAAACTGATTCTTTCATTCATTCTTTCATCCATTATTTGTACACTCCTTGAAGTCAGATTACAGGATGATACAGTAGAGGTCTAGTCTAGTGCTTTCCAACCTTCTTGAGTACAAGAACCCCTTTTTACATAAAAAAAAATTCAGAGCTCCTCCCATTTGGTAGCAATTGTACATTAGTATGTTTTGATGATTAAAATGTTGATTTTAAGGGAATTTTTATTTTATTAATCAGACCTATATCTAATACATTTGAAAACAGTAATACATGTATATGGGACATTATTTAGTCAATCCAAAGAGCATATTTAATTATATAGTTATTTAATGAGAATGACCCCTAATTCCCCTGCTTTAAGGGGTGCTCAGTTCTTGGGCTGGGAACCACTGATCTAGTCCAGCATTCTTGTTTTACAGACGAGGAAACTGAGACCCTGAGAGATGACAGTGACTTGCACAAGGTCACACAGATAGAAAGTGGCAGAGCTAGGATTTGAACCCATACTCTCTAACTCTAAATTCAGTGCTCTCTATTCCACTACTTATGACAGTACCATGCACACAATGATAAATGTTTGTTGAATTAAATTTATGCAGAAAACATGTTTATTTGTTTTGAGGCAATCGGGGTTAAGTGACTTGCCCAGGATCACATAGGAGTAAGTGCCTCCGGCCACCTTTGAACTCAGGTCCTCCTGACTCCAGGCCATTGCACCATCTAGTTCCCTCTCATGCAGAAAACATTTTTAAGCATCTACTATGTGCTAAGTATTGAAGATATCAGTACAACTTGGTTTCTGCTCACAAGAAGCTGGATATAAGTAGTAAGGAGGAAAAAAGACATCTACATATAAATAATATACTATTTTGAATATAATAAGTGCATAAGACATGAATAAAGTACTGTAAAATCAGATGAGAAAGAAGTCCCTTCCAACTGGAGAAATCTGAAAAGGATTCAGAGAGAAGGTAGCATTTAAGTTGGACCTTGAAGAGCAGCCAGACAGAGACAGGGAGGGCAGAATGTCCCCAGCAAAGGTACGGAGGCAAGAGAATTTGGGATATGTGTAGCAGACAAAGAAGAGCGTATGAGGAGAGTGTGAGTGTAAAATAAGGCTGACAATCTTGAAGCCAGACTGGAGGGCCTTATAAGCCAAGCTGCGGGGTTACCTCTTTATGTAGTCAACAGTGAGAAACTTGGGTAAGTCCACTTCCACAAGCATTTGTTAAACATCCACAGTGTGCCGGGCACTGAGCTAATGTCTCTGTTAGGTCATTAGAAAGCCAGTGTTAATGTGCAGTTGTAGCTGGCCCCCTACGATACCACTAGCTCAGTCACTGGTCTTCAGAAGGCGGTGGCCTGTTACACAGGACAGAGATGCTCATGAGGTATAGCAGGTTTACCAGAAATCACACTGAATGAAGAAGCCCTGAGCCTGGGTCAGGGATGTCCCGGTTTTGTCGCTGGCGGGCTCTGTAATCAGAAAGCTGTATGTGTGGGGCCTGCGTGATTTTTTTTCTAATTACAATTACTAATTGATGCAAGACACCTGGCTATGGTCAGGTAGACAATAATAGCAAGCAGGCAGGTAATGGCTCCCGACTTAACAGTGCGTGTGTTATAGCTAATTAAGTAAGAGTGGATTTGTTAGAGGTCTGAAGTGTGCCATATCCTCAAGTCAGTCAGGTTAAATCTGTCCCAAGGGCCACGTGTTGGACTCCAGCACTCTGTCATATTGAATAAGCATTTTCCATCACTAGTATTGGAAAAAATTTATTTCTCCATTTACAATCCTCCAAGAATGTGGAGAATTCCTTAGAAGCAAGTCCTAGATAAATAGGAAGCTGTGTTTTTATTATCCTAAGAAATAAAAAGTCAGCTTCCCCACAGTCCTCTACCCAAGCCCTTTCTTTAAGAAACTGCTACTGTGATGTTTAAATACCAACAACCCACACATGCTTATTTCTCTCTAACCTTATTGACCAGTCTTCATAAAAACTCTAAGAAGTCTTCTTTTCCCCTGAGAATTAAAAAGAACTTCATAGTAGTAATAGAAAGAGACACATGCACAACTAATAGTTCAGTTACTTTGTGTATGGTGCTGATGAAACCTGATGTGAGCTAGTTAGCATTCCTTAATGTGAAACTTCCCTATTTCTGGTGAAGGCTTTATCATTGTCCCAGCCATCTACAGTCATTTGCCAGCTTGGAATCATTCTTGATTCTTCACTTTCCCTCAAACCCCGTGTCTGGGCAATTGTCGGATCTTGTCATTTCTACTTCCCAAAATCTCACGCACTTTGTTTTCAGATCCTCATTACCTTTTGCTTAGACTATTACAAGACCTTCCTAACTGGTCTCCTTACTCTAAGTCTCTCTCTTCCACAATCTACTTTCCACACAACTACCAAGGTAATCTTCCTGAGGCACAGATCTGGCCAGGTCAACTTGCTACTCACCTTAAGCACATTCCTATTGCCTTTAAAAAGAAAAAGAAAAAGAAATGTCCTGGCATTTAATGCCCTCCATAATCTGAATCCAACATAACTTTCCAACTTAATTTCATATTACTCCCCATTACATACTCCACATTTCAGCCAAACTGAATTAAATTAAATTGAATTGCATAGCTAGAGACTGCACCCCGATGTTCAGAGTGCATGGTCTTTGGCTCAAGAGGGACTCAAGAGGGATTGAACATAGATAACCCCAAATCACTCAAAGCAATTTACTTCCTGATGGCAGTTCTGAAGTCATCTTCATTTACAAAGAACAGTATTCATTAGGGTCAGAAGAGACCTCAGAAATCATCTAATCTAACCTCCCAATTTCGGAATCCCTTCTGCAGCCTCCATCTGGCCTATGCTTGAACACTTCCTCTGACAAGAAGGCATCCTTCTTGTTCCATTGTTGGACTTATAGCTATTTTAAAGCTCTCCCTAATGACTGACTTATGGGGAGAAAAGGGTCAGACAGGTGCTTCTCTGCATCTCGCTCTTATGTTAACAAATTACCAGAAATCTAGGAGGGTGGCAGTCCCCTCCCTAGATCCACTTGTGGCAGGAACAGGCAAGTTTTGACTAGACAACCTCTGAGTACAGACCATCTTTTAAAGATATTGTATGTTCCTGGGGAGGAAAAAAGGCCCCTAGCCAAGTTCAGAACTGACTGGAACTTAGTAGATTTTGAAGCAGACTCTAGCCTTTTGGGGTTCAAGTTCGTTTATTCTTGGCAAAACAGAACTTCCTGTTTCTCAGAAGAAAAAAAGGGCCTCATAAAAAAGATTCCTGAGGCTTCTTGGACATCAAATGGCTCTTACAAAACAATATTTTGATGAGTTAAGTGTAAATGAATCAGAAACATGTGGATTAAATTTCCCTTAAAATACACAGGGGCTTCAAAATTAAGAGGAAAAAATGTTTGGCAAAATGTGGCCTGACTCTTAACCAAAAAAGTTTGAAATAGACTTGGAGACAATGGACAAGCCTAAATTTCAGGGAGGTTGACCTAACACTGGGCTTGTCCATTGCTGCCCAAGCACCTGCCTCCATTTCCCTCACAACCTTTTCAGCCTTGTGGGAGGCCTTTACACAAAGATTGTTTGGTATCTGGAGGTCATCTGGTGTTTGTCTCACCTGATGTCTTCTACCTCCTCTGTCCAGGATATGTCAGTCCCAGTCTTCCATCCCTGGACTCAGTCCCCACTCCCACCCATGGCAACACAGGGGAAATGTCAAGCAGGGAAAGAGCAGCTAGAGGAGATGAACTCCAGATACTGAGATTCTCTGCTGGTGAAAATGTCTTAACCATAAATGAGGCAGAGGCGGAGGAAATTCAACACAGACCACTTCTCCCAGGAAGTTTTATTAGCTAAAATAATAAAAGCAGATGGTATAATATATATACATATAATTTATAATATATAACATATATATAATTTATTATAATAAAAGGACAGAAGGCCAAGGTGAGACCAATTAGCCCCATTTCCTGAGAGAACAATAGTTCTTCAAAGATTTATTCCGGGGGTTCAGAGAACAAATATTCTGGGGATCTAACTTCTCCCTACACTGTTTATTTGGGCCATGCTCACAAAACTACAAAGGTATCTTAGAAGCCAGAAAGTCAACTCTCATACCTTCTGAACTGTGCAGCCAACAAAATTTTTTTCCTAACTGATGGCAGAAAGTCAAGGAGATGCTTTGGGCAGATGGGCTGACTCTTAATACCAGTCCCCTTCTGGCTAAGGTACATACTGTGAAACATGTTCTGTACATTGCCACCTGGACTGGCTTTCTGCAAGGGGTTAGCCTCCTGAGAGAACTCACGGGAAAGGAGCAGGAAGATTGCCAAGCAGCTTGACAAGGCAAATTTCCCTATAACTGTACAGCGACTTCAGGTTTCCCTCCCACCCACCACTTCCTCTGATCCCACCATTATCCCTGAGGACTCATTCTGCTCTATTTCTATAGAGGATAACTAGTAAATGCAATCCAGTCACTCTCTCCTTCTCTACTAAAATGTGAAAGAGGAGTCTGGTGACGATCAAAAAAGAAAATTACTCTAGTCTTGGCTAAAAGGGGCATCCATTGGTCCAATATTTCTTGCTTTTGCTCACAAGCTGAGTTTCCTTTTTACCATAACTAAATGGAATCCCCACACTTGGCACTCATCCAAACCAAGCCTTCTGTCCATCCACCAGTAATACCTAGTAATGGTGCAGTAGGAGGAGTTACGGATTTAGAGTCAGAGGACCTGGATTCAAATCCTGCCCTTGTGACTCATCCTCTCTGAGTTGAGGTTTACTTATCTGGAGAACTAAGGGGACTGGGATAGATGGCTTCACAGGTTCCTTATAGCTCTTTATCCATGATCCAAGAATGCATTGTTTTTCCTCATTGGAAGAAGATGGCTCAACTGTCAATAAGATGTGTTATATTAGGAAAAACACTGAACCTGGCATCAGAGTACATGGTTTCAAATCTCAGTTCTGCCTGAGGACTGCACAGTGCTGGGCCCAGACTCAGGAAGACTGCTCTTCCTGAATTCAAATCTGACTTAGACACTTACTAGCTTTGTGACCCTGGGCAAGTCACTTAACCCTATTTACCTCAGTTTCCTTATCTATAAAATAATTTGGAGAAGGAAATGCCAAACCACTCCATCATCTTTGCCAAGAAAACTCCAAATGGGGTCACGAAGAGCCAAACGTGACCGAAACAACTCAACAGCAATAATAAAGTTTTATGACCTAAAAAAAAAAAAATCACTTCTCTTTGGACCTCGAGTTTCCTCACCAATAAAATGGAGGCATTGGACTAAATAATCTCTAAAATGTCTTCCAGTTTTAGCCTTCGGTGGCTTACTCTGTGCCATCCATATTCTTTCACCCAGTTCCCTGTGACCACAACATGCATTTTTGAGAGAGCTGACTAACTGCTTGGGGACATAGTTTTCCTTCCTATGAAACTGCCTCCTGTCCCTTTGGAGATTTCACTTTGCCCTTTCTTGTGAAGATTGTGGCGTCATGCTTTTGGGTGGCTTATCAGCTTGATTCCCAAATTTCTAATCACTTGATTAACCCTAACAAAAAAAGTATATCCCCCACCCAAAAAAAAAGTATTGAATATCCTCTCATGGTTGTATTGTACCAACCCAAGTCCTAAGTCTCTTGCATATAGAAATGGAGTCCTTCTAGGCTTCCAAATCCCCTGTACTACTCTCAAGATTTCTTCCCTCACTTGTCTTTCTTCCCCTTGTAGCTCCCTCCCTAAGTCTCTCACTACTCTCTATCACTGTTTTTCTCTTTTTCTTTTTGGTTTCCTTTCCTTGCATCTCTCTCTTTTTTTTTTTTTTGGTCCCTCTTCCTTAATTGGCCAAGATACAGAACTGAAGATGTTGATTTAATTGATTTAGTTACTGAACTAAGTTTCATGTTCCTTGTTCTTTATGTTAGAAGAGGATAAGTTAAATGTTTTACATGAAATAATGTAAAACAAATGATAATCCTAAATAAATTTTTTAAAAGTTTTCCTTGTATATGGCCCATAATAGATTTTGTGGTCATTTAGTAATTCTAAAGAGAAAGGTTCCTAGTCATGTAATAGTGTGCAATAATCCAGACAAGTCTATGGAAACATCCATTCACACCTGCTCAGATATTTTATCCAAACATTAATATTGTGATCTTTTATCTAACCCTTAGGTGATAAGTGCTAGTACTACGGTGAGGGGCTCTGAATAATTTAAATAAAAGATGGGGTTCTTCACTTAAGCAGTTCACAACCTAATAGATGTCTCTTTGAATAGAAAAGCAGACATAATGAATTCCACCACCCACTCCCAAATCAGTAGGGTGACTTAAATGAGAAAGGGAGATAATTAGGAAAAACAAATATAAAAATGCTTTTGTAAGACTGAAGTTTTTTGTTTGTTTTCTTTCTCTGTACAAACAAACTACAAGATTATGGAAGAATGGAGGGCAATTTTAAGAATAAAAGACAGCTTAAGATAGGCTGATGGGGAAGCAAGAGCAATAAGTGAGGTGGTGGGGGAAGCAAGTTCCTCATGGGACAAGAAAATGACAAACCCTTCTTGTCTCCAAAAAGTATTGTGCAGTCAAGGACCTTAAATAGCTTAAAACTTTACTTTGTGGCTTCTTAGCATCATAAAATATTAAATGGAACCCTAAAAGTAATCTAAATCAACCCTCTAATGCTCTGGAAGAGGAAACCAAAACCAAGACAGCTGATGGTTAATGACAAGACTAGGTCTAGAACCCAAGTCTTCACGTTCCTAAGCCAATAGTCTTCCCAATCTGAAGCATTTAAAAGAAAATTCTTCTATTTTTTTTAAATCTCTATCTTTCTTGAAATCTGCCTCTATGTCATGGAGGGTGGGGTGCACCTCACTGACATCCTTGTTTTAATATTCTCCCTTCTGTCTTCCTGGATCATAGCCACAACTACGTCCGTGGGTCCATTACACTATACATTATCAATCTTCATCGATCAAGAAAGAAAATCAAACTGGCGGGAACACTCAGGGACAAGATTGTTCACCAGTATCTCCTGCAGCCCTACGGGCAGGACGGGCTCCAGTCAAAGTGAGTGAACTCTTTTTAGTGGAAGATGGTTCTGATCTCAGTAGGATGTACATAAGAAGTTCAAGTGTCCTAAAATAGCTCAGGAGGATAGCACTGCTACTTCCTCTCTCTGCAATGCAGTTAATCCAGCATCCTGTGCCAAGCCCCCAAAACAATCCCAAACTCCTGGTATAGAGCATTGACAGCTCTTGGTCTCTTCCAGCAGGAAGCACCCTGGCTGGAGAGATGGGAGGCCTGGCCATGGGGAAATCAAAACATCTGAGGAGGAAGGCCTCAGAAGGAGGAGTAACAAGCCACTGTAGAGTGGGGAGGCAATTCCATTCCATTCCTAGTGTTTACCAAGTTTAACAAAGCTGTAAACTTGTAGCAGGTGGTTTGCACACCCACAGCTGCCCACAAACATCTGTGCGATAAATGTTCACTGGGTGGCTTGCATCTGGCTTCCAACTGCACAGAAAAAGGGCTAGCTTATGGGAGTTGCTTACTGAGGCAACTCTGTCCCCACGACGTCTCGGTCTTGATGCAGTAGCCATCCTCTTCTGACCATTTGTCTGCTGGCTCTGCTGTCGTGTATTCGATTTTTCTCTCTTCCCAGTCATATGTATGACATTCAGGCATATTTCAGGACACTCCTCGTTCCCTCTCTTTTTCCTATCAGTCAGTGACTTTTTTTAAGAACCTACTGTTAGCTAGGCACCATGATGGGCACTGAGGTTAAAAGCCAATTCAAACAGAAGTAGTAGGGGACCCAGCAAACCTAGGGCTAGCCCCAGCCCTGGCATTTGCTTACTACATAACCTTGAGTTAGTCACTCAGAATCTCTGACAGTCAATATCCTTGTCTTTCAAATGGAGACAACAATCTCTGCCCTGCCTCCTTCACAGAACTGTTGTGAGGATCAAATGGGGTAATAAATGTGAAATCCCTTTGTAACCTAAAAACTATACACAGAGCTAAAGGATGGCGATAATCTCCTAGGGTACTCTCTGCATACCTAGTATTGATCTGCATCCTCTTCTTTTGGCCATCCTGAGTGTTCTTATTAATTATTGCCAATACTGTTTCTGCTCTGCCTGCCCCATTTGTCCTTATCCAGTACAAAAGCCTTATTCTGATATTGCTGGAAGCCTCTGACAAGTCATTGCTGGCCTCTATAGGACCAGAAGCCTGTGGCTAGTTTCCTTTGCACTCTGTCATCTGCATATGAAGTTAGTGTGATGCCCTCCCACCACCACAGCACTGTAGCAGTCCTTGGTGAATAAGACAATAAATGAGGACCCAGTGCTGCCACTGGGGTGGGTGGGGGTGACTTTTTAGCCCTGATTTCTACCACTGTCTCAGAACAAAATTAACCCTGAAAGTAGAGTCTCCAGAGAGATCCAACACCAGAAAGATAAGACCACCTGTGAGGGCCAGATGGACCATGGAAAGAACATGGGCTGCAGAGTCAGAAGATGTAGGTTTGAGTCCTCACTGAGTAGGCCAGTCATGTCTCCTCTCTAGTTTCTTTATTTGTAAAATGGGTGTAGGAATAATTGTGCTATCTCCCTTCCAGGGCTGTTGGGGGGTGGAGGGAGGAGGCACTTCATAAATTAGAAAGAGATCCCAGGGAAGCCTAACAAAGATATGAACCCATTTGAGAAAACCAGCAGTGACCTGCTCAGCCTGAGGAAGACCGACCCAGCTTGCTTTGTGAATGAACGTTGCCTCATTTTACCTATTGATTGTCTAGTAGCCAAAATGCATCCTATTAACTTTAGTTACACCCACAATCACGGTAATTCCTTCCTCTATTTCCCAAACTGTCATAACATCGTGTTTAGTTACAGGTCCTATAAAGGTGCGCTTGATAATACCCTTTGTGATTAACTGTATGACATGTATGTGTGGTGTGGCAGAAACAACACTAGATTGGGAATCAGAAGACCTAGTTTCTTATCCCAGTTAGTTGTATGAAGTTGGGTTAGTCTTTACCTTCCTGGATCTCAGTTTACTAATCTGTAAAATGAAACTGTTGGGCAAGTTAACCTCTTAACATTCTTTTACTCAAGTTTATGTAATGCCACCCAAAAATGTAAGTGCCCAGGAAGATACCATGTCATATAAATGTCTCTGCATCACTCAGCAAATTGAGCCTGCTCAGTAAACACTAAACAAGAAAAATGGGTAGTCTTTGGATGAGATGTTTCACAAGAAGGGTGTGGTCCTGGGCATAGCAGACTAAAATGAAATTTGAAAGAAAATGCTACAAAATTATTTCAGTCCTTTGATGTCCCTCACTCCTTTATGTACCTTCTGGGGCCAGATTCTGTTGTGCTCATTTTGTGCAGCAACATGAACTCTTATAGCTCTTAGCTGTAAACAGGGAGTCAAGGACTCTACGAAGAAGACCAGAGCATGGTCAGTATTATCATCCTTAGAGACAGCAGGAACAGAATGTATATATGGTAAATAAATTGCCCCTAAATCACCACCAGCCTTTCTTTTCGGCAGCTATGAAGTTGGTCATTTCAGGCTATGACCTAGAGAATAGAGAGATACTGGTGTTATTTCATTGAGAACACAGGGAGAAGAAACTGGGAACTCCACAGAGTTCTTCTCTAAGTATAGCTAACAGAATATTGGGATTCATGAAATTAAATCTTGAGACCTTTAAGACTCTCTGGGGTCTCATAGAATAAGCAAACACACCTGCTAAGGTAAGGTATAGCTGTCCAGGTTTATAATAAATTTCATCCCATACCATTTCAATGGATAAACCATAGAGAAGACAGATCTCTCCCAAGACAAAAGGATACAACCACAAGACCCACTTATCCAGACTGCAGAAAATGATTCAACTCCCAACATAAGAAAAGTTTTGATTCTGAAAATCAAATTAATCTGAGGACTCAGTTCTCCAAAGGAAGCAGTGGAACAATGCCTTGGTAAACTGGAACTTGTCCAGAAGACAGTAGACAAGACGGTGAAAGGTCTGGAAATCATGTCCTGGAAGAAACCATTTAAAGAACTAGATTTATTTAGTGAAGAAAACAGTCAACTAAGGAAAGAAATGCTAGCTCTCTTCAGATATTTGGAGGGCTCTTATATAGAGGAGGAGAAGGGTAGAAGCAAAGGATTGGTGGTAGAGAAGCAGAATTCACACCAACACAAGGGAGACCTTTATGATAAATAGAAATGGAATGTTTCTGATAAATAGAAGTGGTTGTCTGCCAACAGTGCTGTCAAAGAGAGTCTTTGCTGGTAAGAAGCTGAGATGGATGATGAGAGATATTCTGTTTTTCCTTGGACCTAGAGCTGGAAGGATATTTCATGACCATCCATCTGGTCCAGCACCTTCATTTTACAGATCAGTAACCCATGGTTCACAGAGTTTAAATGATTTGTCAAGATCACATAAGTCATCAGTAGCAGAAACAGGCTTTGATCCCAGATCCTCAGCCTCCAAATTCAGTGCAACTTAGAACATGCTGAGCTGCCTCTACTAAGATCCTTTGTTTCTTTCCATTTGACCCTAGATTTTTTCCCCCAGAGCTAGTGTTAGCACATAGTTAACTTCATAGCTGCCTTCTTTTGCCACACAAAGGCAGCATGTGAGGCTACTGAGGAAGGAAGAGCCAACTGTAGCTGCTGGATACACTCTGAAAGAGTATTCCATTGTCTGAATTTCTAGTTGTCCCCTCCTAGACCCAGAGCCTCTCCTCTTCCTTGGCCTCTGCAATGTAGGCTGATCAGTTGTTGGAAAAAGAGCTACAGAAAAGTTCTTCTCCCCCATTTGTGTAATCCTACATTAGTCATCTAATATGTATTTACTCAAGGCAACTCCTCATCTCTAAGAGGGAGAGAATCAGCTCCACCTTTATTAATAATCCAAATGCCAATCTTCTTTTTCTCACGTGAACAGACATCAACAAATACCATCCCAGTGGTAATGAAATCCCTCTGGATAATTATCACCTCTAGTATCTTTAAGCAACCCTTTCTTGAGATAAAACATGAAGTAGAAGTTGTCTCATTTAAGAGCACCAGCTTACTTCAGGAAAAAAAATACAGAAATGAAAACCTTCCTTGGGGAGAAGTAAAAGTATGTACTAAGAACAGGTGCTCTGTCAACCCCCCAGTGCTCTTCTCTCTATGTCCCTTCCAATTCCATTTGCAGGGAAAACAATTCAGAAAATTAGAAAAGAAGGAAACAACTTTCATCACTTTGGCTATTCCATTCTGACTGTCTGACCTGAGGGAATCAGCAGATGCACAGAATCATAAGGATGGAATAACCTTTAAAGGTCATGCAGTCCATTCCCCTATCTTCAGACAAGGCTTAACCATCTGGACAGAAGGGTATCTATCTTTTTTTAAAGACCTCTGGGAAAGGAGATTCCACAAGCTGAGTTGGTAACTAACTTCAGTAATCTCTGAAAACTTGGTCTTATATGTAATTTAAATCCCTCCTACCACAATTTAAGTTCATTTCCTCTTATTCTGACATCAGTGGAGATGTAGAGCTGTTCGGTAGTTTTTGTACAGTAATCCTTCATATCGTTAAAAACAGTTATCCAGTTATTCTCCAATGTTCTCTTGTTTGGCTAATTTCCAGTTCCTTTAATTTTCTTCATACATCCTAACTTCTGACCCTACTTTGGTTCTTCACTGAACCATCTCCAAATTTCCATGTCTTTCAGTCTGTAGGTGGACACAGTATGATAACAAGTCTAATTTGTGTTGAATTGAAAGAGAGGATTGATTCCCTTCTTAGTTTATGGATTCCCACACTTTCAGAGCTGAGAGGGTCTTTTAGAATCTTACATTTTGATTGACAACAAATCCCAATTTAAAATTCCTCAGATACATTTTTCAATCCCTGAGTATAAGGACTCATCGCATCAAAATTTCTCCTGATCTTCACTTTCTGACCTCATGCAACCTAGCTTCCAGTTTCTAACAACCTCTTTTGAGGAGACTGACACAGCACTGAGTTTCTTCGCCCGTTTCTCAATCGT